TATTTAAATACAAAAATATGTTTTAATATTTAAAATTCACTTTTAAATTTCTATTAAACCCTCGTAAGTCTAAAAAACTCAGAGAAACAAATTTTATTTTTTTATGACTTAGTTTAAATTTATTCTAATTATTTTAGTGAGAAAAGTAAGAAAAATACATTTTAGGCCTTTATAAATTTATTTTTAATTTAGAGAAATCAGGAAAAATATTTTAAGGGGTCCCAAGTGAGCACACATTTTTAACTATTTTTTGTATTTTTGAAAAATTTTGAATAGTTTAATTATTTAATTCAAAATATAATTTAAAAATAAAATGTTTTCACAAAAATAGATTTTATTTTTATTAAATTTTCCTGATCACAAGGAACTCACAAAACTATTTTTCATAATTTTTCTAATATTATTTAATTTAATATAATTTATTTTGTGCAAAAGCACTATTTTTACTTACAAAATCAGCTTTAATGGCCAAATTAACTTGAATAATTTTGAAATTTTTATAGTAAGTTGAAATTATTTTTATGAATAATATGGAATTGATTTTGTCAATTTTTGATATATATTTAATTTAAACAAATTAATACAAGGTAAACATTTTTAATTAATAATAAAAATACACAAAATCATTCAAATCATTACAATATTTTTCCTAAGCTTCTCTGACCACAAGGAACCTAACAAAATTGACCCCATAATTTTTTTAGGAGTATTTTAATTTATGTGATTAAATAAATCCAAAATAACCACCTAGGCTTGAAAATTAGGGTTAAAAGCACAGAGGTGCTCTCTAACCTTGGAAAAATCCAAGGAGGTGCCCTCTATCATAAGGAATCAAGGTTAAAAATTTCAAGCCATGGTGAATAGTATTTAATCATAATGAATTAAAATACCTCAGAGAGAATTTAATTAATTAAAAATCATATGCTTGGAAAATTTTTTATTTTTAGTCCACATTATTCTCCTCTATTCAATTGGGTCCAACAACCTCCAGATGAAGTCTCAAGCGTTGGTGAATTGTCTAGCTATGTTTTCGATCAAACTCGATTTCAGGTGTTGGTCTAGAGCTAGGTTAGAGGCTATTTGAGATGGGGCTTTGTCCTTTCACTGTGGAGATGATGTGTGCACAATTAATTTGAGTTTGGTTTACTGTGGAGTTATGGAGAAGATCGTCCTAGTTTAGGCCTGATTTTGAGCTCAAACTTGAACTCTCACATAGGAACCAAAGTGGGAATATGGTTGGCTTGAGTTTAGGAATGCTTGGAGAGTCTCTGGTGAGATTTTGCAAGAGTTTCCCCCAGGAGATTTTGGTTAGCTCCCTTTTTTTCCATGGAGGGGGCTGATTAGATAGAAAAGCTTGGGCTGGCCACCAGGGTCAATTGGTGGGTGCAAATTGATGCTTAGGTGGAGGGATGAAGAGCTCTAGTGACCAATCAGACTTGGCCAACTCAGGTGATTTTAATTTTGATTTTTAGCCAATGGGGTCTCCTTTGGGTGGCTTTTTTTGATGGCTGAGGAGGTGGCTAGCTAGGGTTTAGTCACTTCTTGGCTCATGGAGGTCAGGGGAGAGTTAATTATGATTTAATCCAAATGGCAAGTGATGATGGCAAAGTATTTTCAAATAAACCAAATGGCAAGTGATGATGGCAAATTATTTTCAAATACATAAATATGGTTAAAATCCCTTAAATAAAGGGACCATTTCTCCATAGCTCACCTAGGTGGTTTAGGTGGGTTTAGGTTTGTCAATCAAGTCCAAATTGTGGACAAGTCAAAATTGTGGATGTGGTGACATTAATTTAGTGACTTTGGCATGGCTAAGTCAATTTTGCAATTTGGGTCAAAATGGCTAGAAGTTGGGTTTGGGTTAGGCTAGCCATGACATTGAGCCCAATTGATTGATCAATTTGGTGTAGATGATTTTCATGAAGAGTTTGAAAAAGATTTGGAGTGATTTTGAATCGATTTGGAGGATTAATTTGGAGGATTTTGGCATTTGGTCAATTTTAAGGGTGTTGGGTTAGACTTGGGCTTAGGTTGGGCTAGAGTTGGGTTAAGTATAAATTAATGGTTAAAAATAGTCTAGAGGAATATCATGAAGAGTTCTCAATAGCAATTGGGTGCCAATTTTGGGGTTTTGGCATTCAATTTAGGGGAATTTGGGCACATGGACAAAGTGGGGCAAATTTGGGGATTTTAGTACAAACTGATTTAGGTGAAATTGAGGCTTGGAAAAGGCCAATTTAAGGTTCAATTTGATGTGTAGGAATATTTCAAAGAGTTTATAATGCACAGTTGAGGCAATTGGAGATTTGGGGGTCAATTGAATCAGATTTTGGTTTTAGGCCAAATTGAGGCTTTTTAATTTGGGTTGAAATTGGACTTAGATGTGGGTCAATTGGACTTAGATTTGGTTTTAAATGAGTTTGGTAATGGTGAATTTGAGTTGATATTTGAAATTGGGGGAGATTGGGTCAAATTGATGGACATTTAGGGTGAATTTGGGAAAATTGGGCCTTTAAGGGCAATTTGGGGCTTTTAGTCAAAATTGGTCAAATTCAACAAATTGGGCTCAATTGAAGATTTAAAATTAGTTTTGGAGACACTTGAAATGGTTTTGAATATTTTGGGAAAGTTTGGGCCATCAAGGGTATTTTTGTAATTTTTGCCAAATGAGGGGTATTTTGGTAATTTTGGAAATTTTGGGTGGTTTTGGGAAATTTGAGTATTTTAAATTTGAGTATTTTGGGGTGGTTTTGGGAAATTTGAGTATTTTGAAATGGATTGAAATAATTTTTGGACAAACTTGGATAGTTTTTGGTAATTTTGGGAATTTTGGTCAAATTTTTTGTTTGGGGGTGTTTTGGTAAATTTGGTAAATTTGGTAGATTTGGGGGGCAAAAGGCCAAGTTAGGTATTTAGGTGAAATTGAGGTGCCAACCACTCTATGTGAGCCATCCTATGTGAGTCATGGACTAATGGAATCCCTATTAGCTAAACCTTATCCTAAGACTACTGGGTCTAGTGAACCATCTACATGAGTCTCCCAAATATCAAGGGATCAAAGTCAACAAAGTTTTGGGTTTAGGGTTACAAGTGAGTGAGTGAAAGTGAGTGCAAGTGAGCGAACTAACTCCAGACCAACACCTAGGGTTAACCTTAAGGCTAGATAATCCTATGGGGATTCACCTTTAACTCCCTCATTTTGACCCCATATACTTAGTACTAAGTTGAGCAAAGAATGGTTTAGAGTTTCTAATGGTGAGGGTTCCTTTTCTGTTCCTCTAGGAATAGTCAACAGAAAAGTCCTATGGCCAGACCCAAGGCTAATAAAGAGGAGAAAGCTAGACCTCAACCACAAGTGAGGTCAACAAATGGACCCCCAATAGGTGTGATGTGTCAGGTAAGGACACCGCATGTATTGACGTTGACTGAGGAGATCAACAAAACCAACACAAATTTCTAAGTCAACAGACTTAGAACAAAGTGTAGCATTGAGTGATTGTTTATTCCACTGGGGAGTAACAAATACTCTCACTGGGCGAAAGAGAGGATATTGTGGGACAAGTGTCGGGCAAACCGATAGTCCCAATAAAGAGTTGATTTGAGTTGAATATTTTAAAATTCACTACAAATTTTGATTTCAATTTAAGAATCTCAAGGAGATAGAATTATGCATGAGGAGACCAGATTGAGTGGAAAGTGCAAGGAATCACATCTAACTCAAGAGGAGAGATAAGTGCAAGGATGGGAATAGAGCTCAAAGAAGCCTACCCCGAATATAAAGATGGGAATATGGCTTTAAGAGGCATATCCCAAATGTAAGGATGTGAAAAGGGTGTAAAGAGGCCTATCCCAAATGTCAAGATGAGAATAGGGCATAAAGAGGCCAATCTCGAATGTAAGGATGGGAATAGAGCATAAAAAGGCATACTTCAAATGTAAAGATGGAAATAGGGTGTAAGGAGGCCTTTCCCAAATGCAAAGATGGGAATAGGGCATAAAGTGGCCTATTCTGAATGTAATGATGGGAATAGGGCCTGAAGAGGCCTATCCCAAATGGAATGATGGGAATAGGGCGTAATAAGGTGCATCCCAAATGTAAGGATGGGAATAGGGCGTAAAGAACCCTACTCCAAATGTAAAGATGGGAATAGGGCGTAAAGAGGCTTATCTCGAATGCAAAGTTGGGAATATTACATAAAGAGGCATATTCCGAATGCGAAGATGAGAATAGGGCATGAAGAGGCCTATCCCAAATGTAAAGATGGGAATAGGGTGTGAAGAGGCCTATCCCGAATGTAAGAATGTAAAGATGGGAAGTAAAGATGGGAATAGGGCTTAAAGTGTCCTATCCTGAATGTAAATATGAGAATCATAATTTAGGTACTGACCACAAGAATGTCATGAAAATAGTGTAGAGAACTTGTGGTGTTGAGCTCATAAATTTGTGACGTGAAGATTGACATTGGTGAGGAAAAATTCGTGAGATTTTGTATAGAGTATGAGACTCTGGGAGATGTGAAGAAGTTAGTGCAGACAAGAATAATTTTGATGCGCAAACAAAGAGTGAGAGACCTCGAACTCGAGGGAAACAAACTCAAGCAAATTTATTTTTCTTTTTTTGTTGTCTTTATCACATTTAATTATCATAGAAAATTTTCAAAATTTTAATTTTCGTTGGTGGATTTTCAAAAGAGTATTTTATTTAAATTTTGTTGTTATAAAAAATTTTATCATTTTGTTCTTTGTTCATTGTAGTGCAGAACCAACAAATGGTTCGACGGCTCTTGATTCATCGCACAAAGGACAATTCAAGAAACAGGCTGCATTCTGAAACAAATTTCATTGATCTACTCAAAATAGGTGTTACAGATTAAATACATGCTAAAAGCATCAAAAGTAAATCTGAAACATCTCATGTTGAATACATCTAGAACATCACATGCTGAATATATATCATATACGCTGCTCTGGCGCAGTGCAAATGGTGACAAAAAGAACTATTTATATGTCTTTTGTAGGATGAGCTCCTGATCAAGCTGACCTACTAAGCCATCCTCCAAGACAAGAATTCCCTTTACGTGTACTTTGAGGTGCAACCCTCTCATAGCTCGTACGAGCATAGCTCCTCCAATTCTAGATCTGCTCAGAATCTTTATGGCATCTTGTTGATGTATTCTGGATCTGCTCAGAATCTTTATGGCATCTTGTTGATGTCCATCCTTCTGAAAGTCACATACACTCTGCGGTGTCATACCCATGGGATGCAGTGCTTGGCGAGGTCTGGTCCATTTCCTTTTAGAATCAGTATTGAACCTATCAGCGAGGTCTAGTCCATTTCCTTTTAGAATCAGTATTGAACCTATCAGCAGTGGAATCTCAACAGATCCCCTGAACTCCCCAGAGCCAATAACATCAATATCTTTTCCAAATTGTATATTGCTCTTACTCATGCAGGACACCGTGCAGACAGGTCTCATTAAATCATGATGGTCTGTATGCGGGGGAATGTAATCTCCTTCATTGTATATATTGATGATACAACTATTTGGAATGCAATCAGCTGGCAGTATGCTCCATCTAACAATTCTCTTGATTATCCATTTTATCTCGGAGGGCATTGAGTCCACCTCATCTTTTCTTAAGATGCCTCAGGGATTCCCTTGTCTATCCTTAGTGAAACTATAGCATTATCCACATTGGATGGTGATCCTGCCTTTTTCTATCATCCACTTTCATTGCTTGGAATAAGTTCTTTCCATTAGCAGGCCAGCCCGACCTCTGCCTATTAAATCAATTATGCAATCTAGGATTCTTCTTTCATCACTTTCAGAGAAGACTCTCGTGTACAGTCAGCTCTAGGCCTTAAAAAATATTGATGATATTTCCTTGAATTTCTTCGTAAAATTTGAATTCTATCTTCTTAAATTTATTTATTCTTTCCAATTCCACTATGGGGATTCTTTGAGATAGTCGAGGTCGATCTACCATCTTCACATCTATAGTATACCACATCTAACTTGGCTCTGCAGGTAATGGAATGTAAGACTCAGTATCCGGTTAAACCATCTACTAGAGTCATGTATCGGCAGCAATGAATTCTTCAAATGAACTGTAGTGGTCTAAGTGTAGAGCATTGCATGTCAAACACTCCACGAATGCCCCTCCTGTCGATGACTGAATAGGAACTTTGACGTTATACATTGGACAACCCTTGTAAAATTCATCAGATACTTCATATTGTATTTGCTCCGTAGAGAATTCAAACTCATCCTCTGTAGCGGGAAGACTGGCAGAGTTTCCCTCATGCAAGGGTTGTAAATTTTCCCCTCAAGAATCGGGGTAAGTAAATTTTCCGCCTCTTCCAGGTGTCTTCTTTCTTCACGTAGAAAAGCTTTGTGTCTGCGACGATCAACATTTCGGCACTGAGTTCTTCTCAATGATAGATCTGGAAGTCTCTCATTATTAGTGCTGACCAGGTTTCTGGTTGGTTTGGTTATCATGGATGGTAAACGGCTAGTTCCCTCCATCAGATTCTGTTGTGTTACTGCTTTCTTCCTCTTCGTAGAGGAGTCTTCTTTTGCACCAATTCTCAAAAGCGATGGTAACCCTTCTTTTTTTTTTGTCGGCTAACTATGTCCATCAGGGGCCCTCATAGTTAACATTGACCTGACCAAAGTCCAGGTCAAAGTCTATGATGTCGCCCCGATGCGCCCTGTCTACTAGAGTCATGTATCGGCAGCTATGAATTCTTCAAATGAACTGTAATGGTCTAAGTGTAGAGCATTGCATGTCGAACACTCCACGAATGCCCCTTCTGTCGATGACTGAATAGGAACTTTGACGTTATACATTGGGCAACCCTTGTAAAACTCCTATGGTACTTCAGATTGTATTTGCTTCATAGAGAATTCAGACTCATTCTCCGTAGTGGGCGGCGAAAGTCTCCCTCATGCAATGGTTGTAGATTATTACCTCAAGAATCGGGGTAAGTAAATTTTCCACCCCTTCCAGGTGTCTTCTTTCTTCACATAGAAAAGCTCTGTGTCTACAATGATTGACATTTCAACGCTGAGTTCTTCTCAATGGTGCATCCGGCAGTCTCACATTATCAGTTCTGACTTGGTTTTCGATAGATGTGGTTATCATTGGATGGTAAACGGCTAGTTCCCCCCATCAGATTGTGTTGTGTTACAGCTTTCTTCCTCTTCGGAGAGGAGTTTTCTATTGTACTAATCCTTAAAAGTGACGGTAACCCTTCCTTTTCTTATCGACTAACTATGTCTATTAGGGGACCCTCATAGTTAACCTTGACTTGACCAAAGTCCAGGCCAAAATCTATGATTTCGCGCCAATATTCCCTTTCCTCATTGAGTGAGAGATTCAAACCATCCTTAAAGGCAAAAATCAGCTTCTGTCCTGACATTTTTTCTGCACATGATAAGAAAAAACATCATTGTGCTAAAATTTAGCCGGAATAAGAACAGAACAAAACATTTATTAGATAAAATTTTAATTTGTGAAGGTGCAAAAATTTTTATTGTTATCTTTTTTAATTTTAATGAGATGTTAAAATTAAGAAAAATAAAAGAGAAAAGGATTGAAGTGAGCAACATTAAAATTTTCATTTCATTAGGATTAATCTTATTACAAATATTTGGACCCAGTCACAGACGCTTGGCCAAATAAGTAAACCCAAAACAATCCAGATCTCAAAATCTCATTTTAAACAATGTCATGTTGCATAATATGTTTTCAAATATCATCCGTTGATTTGCAGCATAGGTCTTTCACCTCGGAAATCCACCAGCTGGTATGCAGCATAGGTCTTTCACCTCGAAAATCCACCAGCTGGTAGGCTCCTTCTGAATAGACCAATAGACCCTTTATATGACAAATGGTCCTTCGCAAGTTTGTTCAAACTTTCCACCTACCTTGCAGCATGCAAAAATAGACCTCTTGAGAACAAGAACAAGGTCACCAACTTTGAACATCCTCGAGTGGACCAATTTTTCATGCGCTTGTACCATCCTTTCTTAATAAAACTCCAAATTCAGTTGCACTTCTAGTCGCTTTCCCTCGAGACTCTCTATTTCTTCAAGTCTGAGCTTCGTACATTCTTCTGTCATGATCTGGTTGGCGATGGCAACTCTAAGAGATGGTGTCTTAACCTCTAACGGTAGTACTACCTCAGACTCGTACATAAGTGTGTAGGATGTACATTGAGTCAAAATTTTGAATGTTGTCTGATAGGCCCACAAAGCTTCTAACAGTCTTTTGTGCCAATCTTTTGTGCCATTCTCTTTTATTTTTGTCTAGTGTCTTCTTCAAAATATGTATCATTGTTTTATTGAGGCCTTGTCCAGCCGTTTTCTCTGGGATAGTAGATCGTAGAGTATCTCCAGTCTATCCCATGCCTCTTGACAAAGTTGTTGATTTTGGTGCTTTTGAAGGTTGTCCCATTCTCAAAAATTACTCTGCACGGCACACCAAAACAGAAGACGATTTGGCTTTTGAAAAATTAAAGGACGTGTTGTGTTGTAACCTCTCATAAAGGCATTACTTCTGCCCATTTGGAGACTAATCCATAGTGACAAGAATAAATCTGTGTCACTTAAAGGATAGAGGGTCTATTAGACATATTATGTCCGTGCCCTAACACTCAAATGGCCACGAGGTGACGGTCGGGTGTAGCACATTCGAAGGTTGGTGCAAGGACACCCCATGCACTTCGCACTGGTGACACTTTCTAGTTGTATCCACATAATCAAACATCATTGATGACCAATAATATTCGAGTCTCTTGATCTTCATTTTCATTTTTAGCCCTGACGGTGAACACCACACAATCCGACATGTACTTCTTTGACAATATAGCCCTAACGGTGAACACCACACAATCCAGCATGTACTTCTTTGACAATATTATGTGCTTCTACTCTATTTTAGATGTCGCAGCCACATCTGATCGAATGATCTTCTGTAAAGAACATCTCCCACTATGGCATATGACATAACCCTTCTTGTGATGTGATATGCCTCAGACTTTTCCTCTGGCAACTTTTGAGTTTACAAATATTCTATTAATGGCTTACGCCAGTCTTCATTAATATCAGCAACTACAATTGTCACCCTTTCTTCTTTTTTGAGCTTGTGTAGATTCTCGAGGTCAATTCAAGCCAAAAGTCTTCGTCTTCCTTGTACTGTAATAGCAATGGAATCCTCCAGTGGGCACGTCAGCTCTTTAGTGAGTTTTGCTAAAGCATCATCATGGAATTATCTCCCCGAGGAATCCAGTAGAGAGTTAGTTTGGGAATCTATTCAAGTAGCTTTATTGCATATCGGTGATATTCTGCTAATCTTGGCTTTAAAATCTTGTATTGTCCGGCGACTTGTTGGATGACAAGTTGAGAGTCACCATAGATGGCAATATCCGTTATATTCATCGAGATTGCCAACTTCAATCTGGTGATTAACGCTTCATATTCTACTTCATTATTGATGCATGACTTTGTCAGGTGGTAGGAGAATCTCAACATACCCTTATCTAACGTGATGAAGATCATAACAATTTCTGCTTCGCCCTGTATAACTGTCCCTGATCCTTTATCTTTTCTGGTCGATGAAGCTCTGTTGAAGTACATCTCCCAGCGTTGCGGACTGGAAAATTCCATTTGTAATATATGTTCATTTGGAAATTCATCATTAAGAGGGGACCCTGGTGGAAGTGGGTGTGCGGCGATTAAATCTGCTAAAATTTGTCATTTGATAGCACGGATGGGAACAAAAGTTATATCAAATTGCAATAAAATCATTGATCATCTTGCTAGACATTCTGAATATGTTGGTCGAGTAATCAAATATTTTAATGGATTAACCATTGAAATAAGGGTAATCTTATGAGAAAGCATGTAATGTCTAAGCTTTAGGGTGGTGAAAATTAAAGCTAGGCAATCCTTCTCAATGGGCGAATACTCTACCTTCGTCGATATTTGATGGCCACTCAAGTAATAAAGTGTGTTTTCCTTGCCCTCATCATTGACTTGAGCTAACAGAGCTCCCAGAGAGTCGTCTAAGGCCGTAGTATAAAGTATCAAAATTTTTTCCCCGGAATAGGGGCTGCCAAAACAAATGTGTCATTAAGTATCGCTTAACACCCTTGAAAGTCCGCTGACATTTCTCTTCCCAAATGAATTTGACATCCTTTGTAATTAATGCCGAGAAGGGCTGACACCTAGCTGAGAGATTAGAAATAAAGCGTGTCAGATATGCCAACTTTCCTCTGAAGAAACATTGTTGTTTCAAAGCTTTAGGAGGAGTCATTTCCAAGATAGCTTTAATCTTATTCGGGGCGATCTCGATTCCCCGATGACAGACAATGAATCCTAGAAATTTCCCAAAGGTAACATCGAAGGCGCACTTTAAGGGATTCATCTTAAGATTAAATTGTCGTAATCGTTCAAGCACGATCCTCAAATCATACAAATGGTCAATTTTTTGTTTACTCTTGATGACCAAATCATCCACATAGCATTCCACTTGGTTGTGAATGAGGTCATAAAAAATCTTTGTCATAGCTTGTTGGTATGTTGCTACGGCGTTCTTCAACCTGAATGACATT